ACCTGGATTGTGGAAGGAGCTGGTCCAGATGCTCTCACTTGATTTTTTTCCTTCTCTTTTGTCTTTTTAGCAGACACACCACAAAAGAGTTAATAAGAACACAAACACACAAAATTGGTATTTAAAGTCACTTCCACTTGGGCTCACAGACACACAGCTTTCATGATGACAGAGGGGAACCAGAAGCTTGTCTATAGCAAAATAATTAATCCTGGGACAGTGCTGCCTGAGCCATTGAAAGCCAGGGACTGATTCTGCAGTAGCAGTTATTTAGGTAGAGCAGACATCACAGAAGAAATGTTAGATGGCTGCACTGAAAGGGTTTAGGAAGTGCAGGATGTGCATGGATGTGTCAGATTTCAACAGATGGGTTGCTGATTTGGGGTTTATGTAATTCAGAGCTGTTCTAACAGAGTACTCAGAGACAGACATGCAGAGCAACAGAGAATGGCAGCATTTAAGAAGCTTTGCCATGTTTTCACATGCTCATTTGGAAAAAGATGGAAAGAAAATATCCAAATAAGTTTTTCCTTAATAAAAAACCCCCAAACACATAAACAAAAACAATAAAACAAATAAAACTACAGTGGTGGGAATCCTTTCTTTGCGTGACATCCCAGTTAGGTTTGTGCACCAGTAACACTGTATTCACATTAAACCAATTTAGTACATTGTAAAAGGCATCTGTAATCTGTATATCTTCCAAAATACACCTTGCAGCTTTAGGTTTCTGTTAAATAACACCTTCCTGAATTTCAAAGCAAATGAAACTGGAAATTTAAGGACACTGCAAAGATACTGGGCTAATTTCTCTGTGCAACCTCCCATATGATAACTTTTCAAAATCTGGTGGATAAAGTACTGGGCTGTCAGCAGGATCCTAATGACAGCCTTAAGCAAGTTTTTCAGTTGTGTCTATTTCTCCTCCCATTCCTGGTCTTCTTTCTCTATTTTTACCTTCACTATTTTTAGATGAGGAATGTCTGTCATTACACTTTTGCAGTGAGAACCCTGAGATGTTTTATGAAAAGCATGTGAATACTAATATTAATGCAGAGCATGGTCCCCCATGGTACTTTTATAGGTACATTATCAAAGGGCTTCCTTCCCTACCAGAGAAAAAAATCTGCACTTCTGCAGTTCACACATCATCCTAAATGTGAAAGATACATATGCATTCAATAGGGACTTTCAGAAGTTTTTCATAAAAAAGACTGCAGTTTGTACACTACTTTATCTTAACCAGACTTGACTTTTTGTCACATTAATCAGATGACTGAAATTATTTTTTTCAATAAACAGTGCTACTGCATATCATAAGACAAAGGAATGTTACAAGCAAAAGTAGAAAATTCATATTTTTATCAGTTGAGCTAAAGGGAGCACACATTTTTCTCCTCCATTTTTCCATTTGTTTCTGATTCCAACTGTTTTGCTTTCTGGCAGTGAAAATATGTTTGGAATCAAAACAGACCTCTCAATTTGAAGTTATCCTGTGTTACTTTGCTTTTCCCTTTAATATATTCTTTCTGAAATGAGGAAAGCCATTCACCCAGAGAGAATTTACCAGAAAGGGTTTGGCAGCATTAACCTGCTGATGACTGCTGGTATATTCTTTGATCCAAGTCTTTGCAAGGTGGGATCAAGCACAAGAAAAAGATCAAGTGTTGGACACAGGAATGGCCTCTGTACACACACCATGGTGTAACACTCCATCATCCATGAGAAACCTGCTGGAAGCCACAGGGAAAAGTGTTCCCACCTCACACAGAGCCACTCCCTTCTCTGCAGCCCAAGGTTCAGTACTTGCACAAAGGAGTTTGTGTGGACTTCACATATATAACCCACCCACAAAATCATCTCAAGAGGTGCTTGCTGCCAAGCTCCCTTGTGTGCAGGCCAAGGAATATGGACATTTTCCAGTCCTGTCTGTTAAGCCTTCCCTGCAGGAAGCTGGCTTCCTAGGGTGTGAATTTGTGCTTTAAAACCATCTGCCCTACGCTGCTTCATCTCAGGCAGTGCCTGAGTGCAAGAAACACCAAGTCCTGCTCAAAGGTCACAAGGTCTGGTCACCTGGCTCCAACCCCCAAATTCTACAAAGCCAGATGAAATACCACAAACTCCAAAGGCAGCTCCAGCCAAAAAACAGCTTTTCATTAACAGAGCTCTGAGAGTCACCTTGCCTGTAGAAACACAGGTTGAAGACTTCCTAGTCAGCAGCTGTAGTGGATAGTGTTATTTTCATTCTCTGACTTCTCAAGATCAGTTTATTTAACCTAGAAATGAAATCATGGCAAGACAACATTTTCCACAGTCACACATACTGGAAGAATGCTGAGCCCTGTTATTGCACAGAGGGATCAGTGGCTGCTGGAGGGACAAGAGGCACTCAGCAAGCTTGCAGCCAGGGAGATCCAGCCTGACTTTAGGAAAATCAGGGTTACAACCACTGAGAAGGAACATCTCAGACAACTATCTCTTCTAGCCAGTTAGCCTTATCAGAAAAAGAAATGGATTAGATGATTGATATATAAGTTTTTTCCCCTTCAACCCCAGGTTTCTATGGCAGTGAAACAATACACAGCAGTTCAGAGCTGTAGCTCAGTGATGTAAACAACCATTTTTTACACCAAACCTGACTCACTTTCCATGTGAGCACACAGAATAACCTTTGCCAAAACTCAGTCCTTAACTCTATCTCGTTTTAACACTGACAGTCTTTTAGATAAAGCCTCCAATTGTTCTGGAGGGTGTAATTCCTTCACTTAATAGCTGTGTAGGTTGCTCCATCCTAACATCAGCCAAACAGCCCCTGCCACCTGCACCTCATTCAGTGATCAGTTACCTAATGACATTGCAGGTGATTTTTAACACAAACATTGCTTTCCAAGGTGTAAATGCTGGCAGTTCAGTTGCAGAGGCTCATAAAGACAGCTGAAAAAAATAAATTAAAAAACATACTCGAATATCCTTATCCTCCAATCCACAGCAAGCCAAAAAACCATCGATGGCATTGAGCCATGAGATCAGGTGCACCCCTTGTTATCAGATCACTTTCACAATCCATTCTCATCTCAGATTGATTCCTCCCAGCCTCACCTGGGGTACTGCTGACCCTAATTGCTGCAGCAGGCACTGCCCTGTAGCCTGGACTGGCCTCACTGTCTGGAAGCCAACGTTCCTGCAGGAGCCAGGTGCAGCCACCCCCTGTGCCAGCTGGCTTTGAGAGCAGAAAAAGAGCCAGCCCAAACCATCAGCAGATTGTACCTGGTGGTCTGTCAATAATATTTGTACTTCCATACCCCACAGCCACTATTGACACCTCATGGCAAACTTCCCCCTCTTAATTAATAGCAAAATGTGTCACCCATAGGTAGTTGTAGATACAACTTGACTAATGCCTACTAGAAGCAATTTGTGGGTATAAGTTACAGCTGGAAATAAAGGAAGGGGGATTTTATTTAAAAATACACCATCTACTCACAGCCTGCAAACTGATTATTCATTGATTTACAGCTCAACAGTGCAGTGGGACCAGGAGACAAATGAATACCAAGTGTAGGTGCTGAGGAGCAGACACACTTTCTGTCAAACTGGACAATGTAATTTTATACATTAAACATCTGGGGTTTTTATTTTAATCTTGTTATAACACAGCTATATATAGCAGGAAAAAACAATCTTACTATAGTAGACCTGTTCCTGAAGTGACCTAAGATAGACTAAACAGACCATCTGTCTTGGGAATCTGATTTTTAACCAGAAATAAAAAGGAATGTTAGAACCTATGAGTTATAGTTAGCCTTAATCCTTATTTCATAGTGCTCTAACTTTCCCCTGGAAAAATGTAAACAGACTGAAAGAGGGGGAGGAAAAAAAAAAAGGTTTTCTAGTTTTATTGCCTAGAGGGAAGACAAGGGGGAAAGTCATTTTTCCTCTCAGGGAGAGAGCTGCAAAGTCTCTCTGAGCTGTACAAGAAAAGCACTCAGAGCAAAAGTACTGAAGTGCAATGCACAAACAGGACTACTATAACAAAGTGATTGGCATCATGTTCAGCTATGCTGCTGCCAGAAATAAACTTATCAAGCCTTGATGATATTCATTTGAATATTAAAGGAGATACACATTCATTGCTCTTCTAGATGAAATAAAATACCTCAATAGAAAGCGGTTAAAATGATAATAAACAGTATTCCCAAGGACCATGTAAACTTGCACTACAAGAAAATACCCTTTCTGTGAACTCCTCTTGAGCATGGAGAATGTACTTACTTAAACTGATTAATCCAATAGTTTCCTCTCTTTGTTTCAGACTACTAATTAATATTTCTGCTTTAAAAAAACAACAAACCAACCAACAAAAAAAAATTTAAAAAGCCAAAACCAAACACAACAAAAAAGAAAACCACACAACCTAAACAAGTAAAAATCATTGCCAAACTAGCTTTACTTTAAAAGTCAGAAAATGAAGAGGTGTGCTTTAAACCCATAGTCAGACTGGCTGGTGGAGGTGTCACCACACAGTGCCAGGGGAATTGACTCCTTGGCTCTTGCAGAACTTTGCCAAATGCCCTGCCAGACACCACTATGAATGTATGACTAAAGAACTGTAATGTCAGATTTGTACATTCAGCTTCTTTCAGCAAAAACAATAAAAACCTTATACAAGTAGCTGGATCCATTCTCAGTTCCATGAGATAATGAAACAGAACTGCAGCAACCATGCAGACAGCCCCAGGTTCCACCTGTGCCTGCTGCCAGAGCAACAAAAGGACCACTACCCTCTACCCTACACAGACCTGGGGCACTGTGACCAAGCCACCATCTCTCACAGAGGTTTTGCCTGCAGGCCCCAGGCGGGACAGGGCTCCTTCCAGGACAGCACACCACACCTCACAGCAGCAAAACCCCAGACAACAACCGAGCACATCGTGATACCAGCAAAGCAACTTCTCACAACAAACAGCCCCAAGCAGGAAAACCAGGAGCTGCACACTCACCTTGCAAGTCTTGTGTCCCACGTTCCAGCCTTCCACAGCCACCTGCAGGATTCCCCAGGCTTCCCTGCAGGGATAACCCCCCTGCCCTGCCCTCCCACGTTTCCCCAGGTGCCGCTGGTCAGTGCAGCCCTGGCTCTGCTGATGGGGAGCACCTGGGGCCAGGGGGGACAGCAGCACCGTGCTGGGGCCAGGGCTCTCTCCCAGGAGGGTGCCACTGCAGAGGGGCTGGCAGGTGTCCCCATTGCACCCCTGTTCTGCCCTGGGTGCCAGGAGGGTTTGCCATCCCAGGCTGCAGCCCTGGCACAGGGGTGGTGCAGGCACTGAAGTCCTGCATCCTGCAGGGGTCCTGCAGGTGACCCAGGGGACCCCCAGTGCTGGCACAGAGCTCATCCCTGCCGTGCAGCCTTCCCAGGCAGTGTCACCACGTGTGTCTCCCATGGCTGCACCTCCCGTGTGCCTCGGACACACCACCCAAAATGTGGGTACCTGCCTCAGCTGAATTTGAGCCATCCATTTTTGTCCTAGTTTGGTACTTCAAAGTCTGCTTTTTTGGTTTTCTACTTCAGTCATTCCTGTGTTCAAAAGCAGAATATAAATAGGGTCACAGAAACCAATCTTCCATTTCTTCCAGAATAAAAATTAAGTCTGCACTATTGACATCATCATATGGAAGTAGCAATCACAGAGTAGAACTACGTGGTGAGTCATAAAAGGATTCATCAAATATTAAAGGGATTTGATTTTTAATTGGACTTTCAGTGGTCAGACTTTTTTTTCATTCTGTCAATAGTTTTGAAAAGCATTGACAGAATTGTCCTGCAGTATAAAATTGGTTAATACATAAAATAAGTATCTTCAGATCAGAGTAAGGCAATTTAAATGCTCAAAATACCTTATTAGGATTAAGAGGAAAAACATAATTACCTGCTACCAATTTGCTACTAATAAAATAGATTTTTGTTTGTTGTGTAACACTGAAGCAAGGCCTGACCTTGCAGCTTTAGTTTGGTAGAACTCTCATCAAGTGAGGAATTGGTGCTAGACATAAGTCATCACATGGGAATAATGCAGGAAATATTTTTCTAATTAAGCCTTACAAGTTTTTTTTTGTTTGGTTGGTGTTTTTTTTGGAGTAGCTAGCAGGTGTCATCAGCTCTGGGGAAGTTAAATGCTTACCTGTCATCATGGACTGGGAAAAGCACACAGTCAAGAGCCTAAAAGGGACATAGCACTGAAGTAGGGGAATAGAAATTTAAACTTAATTTACTGTCCCACTCGTAGGTTAGTCTAGGTGGAAGTTCTCAATCTGGAAATGATGTTATTTGGGTCTCTGTCTCACATCCTTTACCATGTCTTTCATGGTTGCTAAGAAACAGCAGAGTAATCATTGGTACTTCAGTCTAAATTGTGGTTAATTAGCTGATGTGTGAAGTGGGATCCCTGCCATGAGCAGAAAGAGACACCGTTCATGTTTAAAAGCACAAACCAACACAACTGACAGGCTGAGGATTCGTTCTCAATCAAAATGTTCAAATGCTAAAAAGCTTTGGAAAGTTTACATTTCCTGGAGTGGTTTGTAACACATGGGAAGGATAAAGGAATCATGATTAGCTGTGTCCCAAAATCTGTCCTTTTGCAGGCCTTAATGAAAATTCTCAGCTTGAGTGTCAAATCTGATGGGTACAAACAAAGATGATGTGATTGGATAAATTAAAACAAAAGGAATTTGTTTTCTGACATGGATAACATATACAGCAGGAAAAGGTTACAGCTTGGGAGAAGGTGGGAAGTAAAAGATGCTACTGGGCTTTTTTAGGAGATTTGAAGGTATAATTTTATGTGGAAATTATTTGGGACTGGAAAGGTTTAGGATACACAAAATAATTGATAATCCTTGCCTTCTGTATATCTTATTTACCCAAACAAGGGTAAACATCATAGTCTTCAACAGAAATCCGTCTTGGCTGTGTCATTTGCCAGGGAATTTTCTAATTAGTGCCTTTGTTGTAGTGAAACAATCTTGTCATTTGATTTCCAAACAGGAGTGAAAATTTGGTATTTCATTAGGAAAGAACAATGAACAAGTGCCTCACACTTGAAGTTCAGGGCAGATCTGTCATTCTCTTTCTAGCAAATTTGAGATAGCAGTGAGATAGTTTTTTAACTAAGTCAAGTAAGAGAATTTTAAATACCTCAGAAACTGATTGCTGTGAAAGCTTTTTTTTGTACAATTTTAGATAATATGCAATTTTCTTGTTCTGCTTGGAGAGGAAAACAATATTTTGCTTCAGTGTCTTCTCCCATTTCTTTTCAAATATGGATGTTATGGAGAGACATTTCTAAGACAAGTGCAATGAACTTCTCAGTTCTTACTGAGCAGAGACTCTGACAGACTATCTAGGTGTTAGCATTAATAACCATCTCAATCTATGCTCTGTTAGACAGCCTTCATTTTAGTAGTTATTTTTAAGAGCCAAAATGTTTTGTATGCTGGTTTATTAAGCAGGATATACACTGCAAACAAAAAGATATTTGTTTTCATTATGCTTTGAGAGCCTTCAAATTACAAAAATATAGAAAATATGTTTTAGATCTTTATATGTTAAAAATATGTCTATTTTTGTGTGTGTTGCTATTTCCACAGTAGGATTCAAAAGTTGTTACTCTGATTGTTTTTAAAGCTTCTATTTTTCTTCCTCTCCCCGATGGTAGAAAGATTCATACATCTTGTAACAAATCAATGTTTATTTCATTTTGCTACTGATTGGGATGTCAGAGGGCTTTTAAGATGTATTGTAAATAAATAGTTTGAGTGAGCCCACATTGGCTGTGCCCCAGAGGAGAAGCTATGGCAATTTTTGGAGCAGCCCAGTGCTATTTTGGACATGAGCTGAACAACCAGCTGTTGTCACAGGGGCAGAAGGAGGTTAAAGCAGGGGTGGATCAGCCTGACCCAGGAGAGGAGGATACACTGTGCAGCCAGGAGCACACAATGAAATCAGTGAACTGAGCAGAACTGGGGGTGGAAGTGGGATAAAACTTCCCTTTCTCCCACTCTTTCATCTGTTGATCCCAGCTCAGACTGTGACATTCATATGGACAAAAAAGATACCCATAAGATGCACTTCAATGAGGACCTAAAGAATGTCTATTGCTAGGGGCTTCAGCAATTTGGAGAACTCTTCAGGGATCCTTTATGTATCCTATTGCCCTCAGATAACACAGTATTAAGAAAATCTTCATTTCTAGCAGGGAAATACCATCCATGGTGGATCATGGCTGGTAAGAGATTCACAGAAGCTTGCTGGCTTGTGAGAATACAGTTTTCAGAAGCACAGTGGACATTCCACAGAAATCTGTTGAAGCCACTGTGTTTGAAGCACATAAGTATTTTAGTATTTTGTTACTCTTTAAATTGTAAAAAATGTGGTGAGGCATATAACTCAATGGGATGGGGAGTTTTGTTACCAATTCCCAAATGTAATGCATCATTTGATTGTAAGGGTTGTTACTTGAGGGACTGACAGCTCTACCTGGGCCTAGCAGAGTGGGTTTGCATTTTTTGATAGGACTAGTCTGTGAGTAAAACTAACCATGAGTTGGAGTAGCTCAGCTTTGGTAAGACAAACTCATCCTCAGTGCTGTGAGTGCTCTTTGGCTGATGCCTCACAGAACACCTCTCTTCTGCCTTGCTCCTCAGCACTGCACTGCCCTGGAGCCCCTGGTGTTCTGGCTGTGCAGTGGAAAAGAAAAGCAGGGATATTCTGCACGTGGTCAGGAACCCTGCCCAGGGCACATCACTCACTGCCTGAATTCTGTCAGCAGAAATCATTCTCAGCAAGAGCTGCCTTTGAGTGTCTCCCACACAGAGATGGCTGCAGCATCAATATAGGCGCTACTTCTGTGCCCAGAAAACTTGGGGTCCTGCAACCAACCCAAAAAAATCTTTATTGAAAACAGTAGACAGGTCTGTAGTGCCAGTCCCTTAAGGGATGGACAGTGGGCTGCATGGCAGGGCAGTTCCACTCTGTGGGAAGGAGAGTGTGTGTCAAGCCCTGCTCTGCCTGCAGGACTGCTGCATGTTGTTCCTGGGATGCTCTTGGAAAAGCTGGTGGAGATGCAGACATGTGACAAACGGATTTGGCTTCCCAAATCCTCTGGCTGGAACTCCTGAGCATGGCATGGGCAGCAATAGCCACTGCTGCAGCACCTGAGCTGTCCCAGCAGAAAGGCAGGAGCTGGCAGGACCTGCAGACCCCGGGCAGGGACTGCGTTCCTGCATTCCCAGTGGCAGGCTCTGGCAGATCTCTGTGCTCCAGTGTTTCAGCTTTCAAAGGAAGCCTTTGGAAAAAGGCTATGGAACAGCCACTCAGTTTCCACTTGACAGAAAGCAGCAGTTCAGTCCCACTAACTGTAGATTCTTTTTAGAGAACAACCCTAGAAATGAATCAGTAAAAGGCACAGCACAAAATAGGCTGCTGTTTCAACTGGCAACTGCAAAATGCACTTGTGTTGGGCTATTTCTGTCTTCCTCGTACAAGAATAATTTCCATCATTTTAAATCATTTTTCCAAGTTGCACAAGCTGGTTTCATTTTCCAGCACTAATCGAGGAGAAACCTTTACTTCAATCTTGTAAACCATCATGGGTGAGTAGGTGAACCTGTAACAGAGCTAAATAAATACGCCTGATACCCAAATGAGTTTGTTATCTGCTCCAGAGCGGTGAGAAAAATAAAAATTCTGATTAAATCTTTGAGTGGCAAACTTCCAATCCCAGCAATAAAGGCAGGCCCTATGTGCTCTGGAGCTGACATATTTCTTCAGCACAGAACAAAGTGAGCTCTGCAGCAACGATGGCTGTAGCCAGCTCTGGGAAGGAATAAGCACCCCAAGGAATAAGCACTCAATAGTCTGCTGCAGTGTTTTCAGTGTTCTATTTAATTTTGCAGATTACGTAACTTTTTTGAGTTCACAGTGCTTACAGTAAATTTAGGTTTATAAAGACTTGACTGGGTTTTCATAATTACC